TAATACATGCTAAAGATAGGCTTCATGCTATTTAGTTGAACATGGAGAATCTTTTAAGTTGTCCTGTTACTGAATCTACCTTATTGGGAGGGAGGGAGGAGCTTACCTAATAATTTGAGAAGAAAAAAACAAGTTTAACAATGTTGTGGCTAAACGTAATTATAGGAGGGGTCGTTCAATCATGTTAAATTCTCGAAGACTGCCTAGAAAGGTTCCTGCAGTTTTCTTGGCAATTTTTTTCAGAAGTGGTCTGCCATTGCCTCATTCCTAGGGTTGAGAGAAAGTGATTGATCCAAGGTCACCCAGCTGATTTCATGCCAAAGGCAGTAGAACAGTCTCTTGCTTTCCAGCCTGATGCTTTAACCACCACACTGAAATATATTACTTATGCTTAGTCTATTTCATAAATATAAATAATGTTTAGCCAACTTCAAACTGTAATATACAGTCTTTCCAACTGAACAATTAAATAATAATAATAATAATAATAATAATAATAATAATAATGTTGGAAGGGACCTTTGAGGTCATCAAGTCCAACCTCCTGCTCAGGCAGGTAACCCTATACCATTTCGGACAATTCGGACAAGTGGTTGTCCAGTCTCTTCTTAAAAACTTCCAGTGTTGGAGCATTCACCGCTTCTGGAGGCAGGTTGTTCCACTGGTTAATGGTTCTAACTGTCAGGAAGTTTCTCCTTAGTTCTAGGTTGCTTCTCTCCTTGATTAGTTTCCATCCGTTGCTTCTTGTCCTGTCTTCAGGCGCTTCGGAAAATAGCTTGACTCCCTCTTCTTTGTGGCAACCCCTGAGATATTGGAATACTGCTATCATGTCCCCCCTTTTCCTTCTCTTCATTAAACTAGACCACATGTTGGCAACCTGCGGCTCCGGAGCCACATGCGGCTCTTTGAGCCTTCCCCTGTGGTCCCCAGCCTTCTCTGCCATTTGCAGAGAGAGAGAGGGACAAAGAGAGGCACTTGCGCTTCCCTGCTTCTCTCTGTGTATGTGTGTGTGTGTGTGTGTTTGTGTGTGTAAAAGAGAGTGGACTCACGGTGTTCTCCAAGGAGCTGAAAAGCTTATTGGGTGTGGCTCCTCCTTTTGCTGCGTCTCTGCAGGAAATAGGAAGCAGGAAGGGCAGGAGAGAGCTAGCTAGCCCAGCTATGCTGACTCAGGAATTCTGGGAGTTTAAGTCCATGAGTCATAAAAGAGCCGAGGTTGCCTATCCCTGAGCTTGTTGGAGAACAGCTTGAAACCAGCTTGCCAGGTGAGCAGAAGATCAGAGAGAGGGAGGGGGGAGAGAAAGAGAGGAAAGAGAGAGAGAGAGAGAGAAAGAGAGTGGGGGAAGAGGACTGGCAGATCAAGGGCAGAAAGAGAGAGAGGGAGACAGAGAGAGAGACCCTTTTGACATCTAAAATAAAGATAACACTGCATATATCCTTTTTTACATATATGTATGTATGTATGTATGTATATATATATATATATGTATGTATGTATGTATGTGTGTGTGTGTGTATATATATATATATATATATATATATATATATATATATATATATATATATATATAGTAAAAAAGGATATATGCAGTGTTATCTTCATTTTAGATATCAAAGGGGTTTTGCGGCTCCCAGTATTTTGTTTTTGGTGGGAAACGGGCCCAAGTGGCTCTTTGAGTGTTTTGGGTTGCCTACCCCTGAACTAGATATACCCAATTCCACCAACCTTTCCTTATATGTTTTAACCTCCAGTCCCCTGATCATCTTTGTTGCTCTTCTCTGTACTCTTTCTAGAGTCTCAACATCTTTTTTACATCATGGTGACCAAAACTGGATGCAATATTCCAAGTGTGGCCTTACCAAGGCATTGTAGAGTGGTATTAATACTTCGCATGATCTTGATTCTATCCTTCTGTTAATGCAGCCTAGCACTGTGTTGGCTTTTTTGACAGCTGCAGCACACTGCTGGCTCATATTTAAATAATTGTCCACTAGGACTCCGAGATCCCTCTCACAGTTACTATTATTGAGCAAGGTACCCCCTATACTATACAGGCACCCTATACTATACCTTAGGATTTATACAATGAAATTAACTATGATTAATTTAAGATTACATGTAATTTTTACTTGCCTGATGATCACACACAATCAAAAATTTGAATACATGAGACTGCAACTTACTGGGATTTTTCAGAAAATTAACCTAAGAATTTGAACTAGCTCAATCAAAAACCACATTTTGATTAACCATTCTAATGAACTCATACTATACTTTAAGTTACAAGACGTGCATTTTCCCCTTGACTACCGTTTATCTGTTCAAAATTTAGAATCACACATTTATTTGATTTATGAAAGCAGCAGCATCTAAATTTTGGGTTTTGACAAAGAGGAAAGGCATAAGAGGTCCTATCATTCGTAGCATTGAAACTCAAAATGGCAAACAGACAGAGGAGGAATAAAACCATCAGAATGAAACACAATAATCTGTCTTATCCATCTTCTGTTTAAGATACTAGGACCACATCCAATATGAAATCCTGCTTAGACAGTTGCAAAGAAATACCAACATTATGTCATGCAGATTATGGTCAGATGAATATATCTGAAAGCATCAGCGCATATGTGGTATGTGATAACTAAACTTGCAATACAAATCAGAGAAGGCAGAACAAGAAGACATAAAGAGAGTAAGAGATCCAACATTGCCCTGAAAAATGCTGACTGACTATGGGAAAGTTTGAGAAATAGAGCCATTTCATGAAGTCTAGAACATTATGTGAGCTTTGGGATTTAGACATAACAGCAAACCACCAATAGCATAAACTAATAGCATAAATCATTTGGAAACAAGCTTCAAGTTGTCATTTGGAAAGAAACTTCAAGTTGCAAATTGATTACTCAAACACAAATGCATTGTGCAGATCTCCTTTTTATTATAGTTTAATATAATATACTACATTTTTATGTTACTTTTTTACTAGCCGTATTAGTTTAATACTGAATAGAAAATACAGATCTCATGAATTTGGGGAGAATAAAAAGGAATAAGACTATCCCCATGGGCTTAGTTGTAGATGATCATAGTGAGTTATCAGAATACATTACTATATCCTAATGCCTGAAATGAGTTCATACTGAAAAACTGAGCTATTACTGTAAAACTATTTTGAAACTATATTATTTCATATTTTTGCTATCTGAACTCTTAAGAGATCTCTCATGACAAATATTTCGGCATACAGGTAGTCCTTGACTTACAACCATTCGTTTAGTGAACATTCAAAGTTGTAATGGCACTGAAAAAATGACATGATCTTTTTTCAGACTTACAGCCACTGCAGCATCCTCACAATCACATGATCAAAATTCAGACACTTGTCAACTGGCATGTATTTATGATGGCTGAAGTGTCCTGCAATTATGTGATCATTTTTATGAACTTCTGACAAGCAAAGTCAATGGAGAAGCCAGATTCACTTAACAACTGTGCTACTAACTTAATTGCAGCAATTCATTTAATAACTACAGCAATAAAGGTAATAAGATAGGCCAAAACTCACTTAACAACTGTCTTACTTAACAACAGAAATTTTGGGCTCAATTGTGGTCATAAATCAGGGACTGCCTGTATTCAAAGTAGTAATTTAAGAAAGTTAGATTACATTTTTTAAACTGATTATATTTTTTAAAATGTGCAAAGAAAAGAATACAGTTCACTGGAGATAAATAGTCAAAAAAATAAAGTAAATAAATAATATTTTTATTACTTCACTGATCAGAATAGTATAGTTTTGTAACAGGATTTATAGAATTAAAATAGAAAACAATAAAATGTAATAATAAAATATGAGCTAAAATATTAAACACATAAAATCACTAAATTTTAAAACTTGCAAAGGCATTAAAAACATAGTATTAAAAAGAGTATTTTTGAAAATATGAAAGTATTGAAGCATGCAGTTGTTGATTTGAATTCTATATATTTCAAAAAACATTAACCACATTATTACTACTTGCCTAAAGCAGGCTAGGAATATTTACTATTTATTATATTTTTACACAGTTTCACTACCAAAGCTGTTGTTTTATTTTGTGAAAATGAGAAGTTTTAATAATATTTGAATGATATATGCTTAATTCTACTGAAATTGGATTTTAAAAGTCATTAACTTTGTTCATATATATAACTTTGAATCTAATCTTGCAACAACCTCACTGCAGTTCTGGACAAAACTTTGTCAAACCTAATAAAGATAATTAATATTAAAAGAAAATATTTACGTATTCCTTCTTATGTTTATTTTTGCATAAATAATTGGCTAAGTTATGTATTAAAAATAAACTTCTCGAAAAAGTTCATGTAAACATAATACCACTTTAATTAAAACGAATTTTGCATCACTCATTGCTCTATCATGAGTAAATACAAAATCACTTATCCATAAATTCTCTGATTCTGGTGCTCAAGTGTCACCACGAGACAGACCACTGTGAAAGATGATAGCAATATAATCTATATACACCACTGTCACTGAAAAAGGAAACAGCAGCTCTGTAGCAATCTGCTGATTAGCACAACTAATCTTGTTCACTGAGTTCTATGAGACTCATTCCCTGACAAATGAGGATGATTGCCACTTAATTTCACACTTTTTCTCATTGTGACAAACCTCCTCTACGAACTACTTTTTATTATCATTATTTCTTTTCCATTTTGTTTGCATCTCCTGTACTACATTCTGCCCATTTAGGTTTAAATTATTCTTTAGCTATTTTCCAGCCAACAGAAATCCAAATTTATCATCTTGTCATTTCAAAAGAGACAAACTTATTTTGGGCAATAAGCAGGACCTTTGGAGAGTTTAGTGATTCTCAGCTATTATGATAATTAGTCAACTACCTCAAAGTCTTTCTGTTCAAAGCTTTGATGAAATGTGAGTTCTCCACACATACTTAACACTTTCCCCATACAGCTGCCTGTATATTTTGCTACTTACAGAGCAAATGGGCACAGTGAACCCCACTGTGTACAGGACAGTAGATGTGATGGTACTGTCATGGAACGGGTAGCTGATGCTGTCATCATTACAGAAAAAGCCCCTCTGATACGGCTTTATTTTTGCCAAGTTTAGAACAGCAAGGGGTAAGCCAGCTGTTGGGGGAAAATACATAAAGTTAAATGTAGATAGATGTCATTTTATATTGTTCATCGTGCAGAGGAAACTACTGAGCTACATGCAAAAGTCAAGAATTCTTGCCCAGCCAATTTAGCATCATGCAGTGCCCACAGCATCCTATCAGTCATTCATTACTCTGGCCTCATCTAAAATTTAGGCTCAGAACTTCAAGAGTTCCTGCTTCAACATACTGTATCTTGCAGGTGTTTGGTTAGAGAAAATCTGACCTTTAATCACTAGCAATCAGAGCTACTGACAGCTGCAGATTGAATGAATAATGCTTAAACATTGAAAATATGTCATTTATGTAAAGGAAGTTTATGTCAATGACATAAACTTAGAAATTAAATTATTTAGTTAAGTTAATTTAGATCAATAAGGTAAAATGGGAGCAATCAGAATAGAAAAGTCTGAAACCTGGATAAAACAAAAAAGGAGAAAGAAATAGAGAATATTATGGAGAGCATTTTATCTGTTTTTATGATGGAAAGATTTTCAAAGCTTGATCTGTTCAGCTTTCAGAAAGAAGTAGTACAGTAAGTTTGCTGGTCATGGACTGTAGTAAACACCTCACAAATTAATCCAAATATTAGAAAAAACATTTAAAACAATATGAAATTATAAATAGGCTTACTTCCTTTCCTTATACAGCAAAGTTGAAGACTCCTAGATTTCCCACCCTCCCCAACATCTGGCTAAAATAATTTCTGCAATCTTATAAATGCCTCTGGAATGGAGAAGTACAGAGCATGGAAATATAAGTCACCACCACCTCCATTTCTGGTTTATGAGCACCTGTGCTTAAATTATTAAGATTTATTCCATAGCATCAGCATTTGCTATAATTATCACAATCTTTACCAACATATTATGTCATAGTACTTCTGTGATTAGCTAATCTAATCCTACTTGAAACAACCTGGTATACATATACTTCTTCACTTATTCTCTTAAGATTTTTATGCAAATATTGGAAGTTATGCTGAAATCATTCAAAAGAGGTACACCTAGCCTACCTGTCACCAACTTTTCCAGGTGTTCAAATGCATCTAATACAATGGGGATATTCACATATTAAGCTAACACAGATTCATCAGCTATACCAGTGCTGAGAGCAGCTTCCAACCCCTTCTTGTCTTAGCTGTTATTCTAGCTATCATTATAATGGCTGGCTAGACATTACCTTCGGTTTTCTTTATTAAATTTTAAAAACTCCAATACAAACAGAATGGTCCAATTGAGGATGAAGCCATTCTTTGCAGGATAGGAGAGGAGGCAAATACAATCCCTTAATATCTAGTAAAATATTTCCTTCAGGAAAAAAAATATTCTGAATCTGGCTAATTCTGTCATACATTAACCTTACTAAGCCATCCAGTTTAGAGACACCCTACATTTAAATATGGCAATATTCCTGAACTACCAGCTAAGTCAAAGTTCTTGAATAATACACTTGTTTCTTGCTGCAGCTGCCGCTGTCAGGCAATGAAATTATTCAAAACCATTTTCCCACTGTCTCCCAACATCAACATTTCCTTTGTGCCATTCGAGCAAGAGCCAGGTTTTAAAATATACAAATATGTATACAAAAAGATTCATTCTCTTATGCATAAAGTACTATTTTAGAAAACAGCAGTTAGAAATGGAATATTCATATTCAGCTAACTGAAGATTACTTAGTCCTAAAAATCATTGTAACTTGAATAGTTTAATAATACATACTGGAAAAAAAATTAAGGACAAATTTAAAATAGTTTTAATAAATTAAAAAAAAGCCACATGAGGTTCTAGAAATGAAGATCACCTGGCAAAGAAGTATATCTACTGTATGAACATTTCTCTTTGGACAGACTAAAACTTTATGGCTACCTACAAATTAAACAAATCTAAAGAATAACAGAAATGTGGGATGGATTGGAAAATCATTTTTTTTTCTCAACTCTAGTAAGACCATATTTCTTCTCATCAGTGTAAGCTGAAACTTTCACATTGACATTATTTGTGTATATAATCAGTCAACAAGTCTGAGACTCAGAATTTAACCCTTGAAATCTGCAACAGAGATCAATCATCAGGCAGGTGAAGAAAAAGTTCATTTGAAGAATCTAGAAAAGTCTATGGACTGTCTGCATCAGGTAACAACGGTGAGGAAAACCCATGATGCCCACAGGTGATGGGGATTGCAAACCAATGCATCTGCATAATATCACAGTTACAAATGCTGGACCGGATGGCTCACTCAGTTAAACAAACTTAAGGCAGAGCTTCTACATTTATCCTCTGAAAAGGATTAGAACTGCTTTCTGACCAAAATTCTACAGAGCCATTGTCTATACATGGGTAAGTGAAACGTTCCATAACTGGGTGATATTTCCACTTCTACTTTCTAAAAGCAAAGCAAGCAACATTTTGTTGATAGAATTTTGCAGAATTTAGTCATCTAAAAACCTTCCACTAAATCCTCTTCAGTTTTCTTCTAATTTTCCTTATTTCATAATACCTTTTTAAAAAAATTGTTATTGTGGCACTATTCCTGTGGGGATAGGAAAGGCCAATGCTCCACTGAGGCACAGCAGGAAGAGATTCTCTGGGGAACATGGATAATATTCAATAAAAAGATAAAGTTTCATTCTGAGATAAACATGATCTGAGTGATCACAGCTTTTAACTATTTAACCAAAGAGCAAACTGCTTCAATTATAGATACGTTTTGAAATACAAGGAAGGAAATACAAGGGAGGGGGAAGCCCAGAGGAAATTCTCAGATTAAAATGCTGAAGTCCACAGGAAAATGTGTGCCAACATGTTCATACCCAGAGATAAAAAAAATGTGCTTCCTTTGGCAAAAAGTCAGTTCAAATACATTTTTTCATAAACATGTTTACATTAGGAAAATATTTCATTTCAGAGTAAGATTTTAAATACTGAAACGAATATTATACACTACAAAAATAGCTGGTTAACCTAAAATGTTCAGATCACCTACAGGTGTTATCAAGACTAAAATGCTACATATTTTAAAACATCCAGGCCAGCACTCTCAAGGAAACATGGAGTCATTTACAAATGAGGGTGCAGATGAACTTGTAAATCAAGCTACCCCACAAATTGGATGAGACTGTGTCCTCATTACATCAGTTCATAGTTTTCCTAAGTGCTAATGTCAAACCTTTCTCCAAAAAAGAATTTCCCATTTCAAGCGGTGATGGTCCCAGCAAAATGGTTATTGTTTTACTCTGCTATTATAATGGTGTAGTCTGGGTTGCCACTTGGGGGAGGGTACCTTTGGGTCACTTCATCTCCCATTTCCCAGTGTGACAATAAAACATCACTACAAAGTAGGGCCCAAACAGAAATAAGCATAAAAAGCTTGGCAGCTGCTCACTGTAAATAAAAAATGTTGGTGGTGCAAATTTTTACTGTAGTTACAGAGATGGGGTGGGTGGGGAAGTTGAAATAAAGGGGAAAGGACAAAGCATTTTTCACTGGCCAACAAAGAAATATTAATGGATGAGATATCACTGAGTTCTTCTATTGGTTAGGTTAGGAAACATAAATATTGCTTGGCTGTCGAATCTCAAGTCAACACTGTTGATTTTCTTGTAAACATGTCCTTTCCCTTAGCCCAGTATTTTTCAACCTTAGTAACTTTAAGATGATATCAGAATTCCCTATCCAATTGAATTCCACACATCTTAAAAAGACCAAGGATGAAAAACATTGCCTTAGTCTCTATGCATACCTACTGACTATAACCATGAGTCGCTCCCTGCATTGTTTTGATTATGGAAATCAGACATTTTGGTGATGGAAAGGCTGGTCCTTCGGAAGTACTCTTGGACTCAACTGACAATATTAGAGTTTAGAAGGAACTGCACATAGCTTATATGAATTTCCAGCAGGGAGAGCAGGTGTTTAATATTGTCAATTAAGCACCAATAAATCAGTCATCTTTCCTGGTTTTTTTCTATGTGTTGGATTCTAAATTCCATAATCCTCAGAGAACACATCTGCAGCATACCACATTAAATTAGGCTGCACTAAATAATATTTTCCTATATAGACTTCAAACATTAGCAGTAGAGTTTGCTTTTCTCTTGAAACAAAAGAGCTTTGCTTTCTGAAATATGTTGATGGTAAACAAAGCAAAAGTCACGCAAAAAAAATGACACCATCAAGATACAGGCAGAAAAAATACAATAAAAAAACCTTTTGTTCAAAGTTTCACAAAGCAGCGTGCAAACTCCTATGTACTCCAACAACTTTTGCTAAGCTAGATAGTTAATGACAGACAAGAGAACAGCCCTCCAAAATCTGTCTGGTGCTGAAACCATGGCATCTGCATTTAAACATATCCTTTAACATAAAAGAAGACAACAGAGATTCAAATCAAATCTATTGGATTGTAACATAATTCAAGTATATTATTAATCAACCATCATGGTTAAAGTTTCATTCAAATATTTTGCATATTGATATTTGCAATGCTTCCCGAAATACTGCAATGTGCCCAGATTGAAAGGATTGTTCCTTACTAGTCCAATTCATGCAACATTGATTGTTTATATCAGGGGTTCTCAAGCTGCATCTTCCTAAAATAATTACATTTATGTGACTTCATTACATGAATAAAATAAAATAACTCAAAAATCTAAGCTTAAATACTGGCAATATTTAAAAAGAAAATTGGAAACCCTTTGTAAGTTGTTTGCCTCCCTCCAGGAAATCCCTACCCATGCTTTGAGAATAATGTTTATTTTAAAAAATAATGTTTATGGCATAAACTTTATGGAGCAAATCTCAGACATAGTACCCACTAAGCTATAAAATAAGTTAATCATGTCATGGTTTAACCAATGCATGCATCTGACACCACTGAAAAAATAATCTTCAATTACTTTGTTTAATTTCTTGTTCAATAATAGAGCAGAAACAAAACAAAACAAGCTTGTCTTTAAAGTTCATTCCATCAGTT